CCTCCCCCCTTTCCTCTCTCTGGTCCCCAAATAAGGCTAGAATCTGACCCCTTTGATCTCTTAACACCCCTCCCGTTCTTCCCCTAATTATTACTGATTGGTTGCTTACACCTTTGTTAAATCTAGTCTCCCTTATATTATTGTACAAGCCTGATGATGAATAATCGGAAACGTTCGTTCACCTAACCAGACGTCTCGAATGCTATCACACTATCAACGGATTAAGCAGACACAGACGGATTCTCAAGTAACCCTTAGTTATTCACGCCCACCTAAACCTGGCCGGTAGACATGTATGCAGGCCCAGATCTTGCAACACCTCGAAGCCCCAGACAACCACTTAGTTTCTGTACGGTATATATTACTTGGACTGGGCCTGATGACTCTAGTGCTCTGAATCCAAACACGGCTCGGACACCTATGACCTCATCGAATTTTGTTGATAGTTCTGGATCCGTCCTGTTTGCGTGGTTATCAGAAAAAAAACATCCAATTAGTCCTACACGACGATAAATAGACAGTCACAAACGATCGTTTACTACAGTTGGCTGACAGTAATACTCCTAGTGATGTATGCACACTTCATTTCCAATAGCGACAGATTAAACTCGCCGATGCAGTATTGTCCAGGTTCTATGGGTAAATTAAAATCAATTGACCCAAATTTTTCCTGCGACTAATCACTGCCCCGATACAACTCAGTTTAATCGATAGTCTGTAAAGTAAGTTTTCTTTAAGAGAGCATCAGATCCTCTATAAATCGGCCTTCCAATTCCTTACGGACACTCGGGGAATAACTGCCAGCCCTGACCAGCCTACGGTATCATTTAACGTGGTCTGCCTATTCATACCTACTGCACTGGTCGCCGTAAGCCATGTTCTGTGCAAGCGGCTCGAAGAGAAATACGATAACAGGGGAGAGGCTCTAAAAGTCGAACATCTACTGCACCCCTTTGTGCTCTGTCAAAGAACATTTTCCAACTTTAATTAAAGAATGTGGAAAATAATCGTAGGCATTCTTCGTCTAGTTGATGAATGGGCCCCAAAGGTGCCGAATAAGATCCTATATAACCACTGCGAACCTGCGTTTGAGTGCGGAAAGTTGAATGCTTTCCTGGGCCTGCTTGAAGGCATCTTCCTTGAACTTTAATTCGAAAGACAAGCACAGAAAGCCGAATAGTTATTCTTCCACGATGTTCAACTAACATACAGCCTTGACGATGAAAGGTAAATGAAAGGCGACTGACCCAACCAAGGTCTTCTACTATTATAGCCATCGCCCGAAGGCAAAAAATGGCCGCACAACCAAAGAGAAGGGTAAAAGAACTACGAGAGATATCAGCAAAGATGCCTTATACAAAACGCACCATCAACTGTTGATTGCCGGTACAAGACTGACGCTTCGGATTCCACCGCGGATCCATCATTAGAGACAGTAGCAGAAGCGGGTTATTCATACACAGGAATTTTTAGTACTCATAGGACACAGTCACTGTGTTGCTGCATACTTATGACAATTCCCGACTCCCCCCTATGGAGGATTATTGCCCACTTGTTCGCTAATTGGTTGATAGACGACATGCGGTTCGTGAACTGCTAAACTTTCATCGCTGATGCTGGATTTCGGTGTGATGATTGCCCGCTCATCTGTCTCTCCAGCGCTGATATCTGTTTCTTCTAAATGTACATCTTTGCTTGTATCAGCCACATTCTCCGTACACGGTTACCATGAAAGACCGAAAGAGCAACATTAACATTTTGACACTATGTACCGTACAGAAGAAAGACAGCAGGGGCAACGGAACACATTGCCGTAGAGTTAGGCGTGGTTATCGCCCGTCATTTGACAGACCACCTGCAGCCCAGAAAACATGCAGGTGCAGAAAAGGTTGAGCACAGAAGAAGAAGAAGAAGAAGAGGCGACCATTGGAACAAGAGCTTTATTTTCCTGACGTTTCGGATTCCATCGGGAATCCTTACTCATAGGTAATGGTAGGATAATCGGAGTCATACGCAGATAAGGG